ATATATATACAGTATATACACACACACACACATATGTGCATGTGTGTGATTTATGCCTTGTCCTCTCTGTCAACACATTCTAGTTTCCTTTAAACTTTCTGAACATCAGATTGTTTAAAATGAACCCTCAGGCAGTATGGAGCTTGCACCAGTGGAGCTGGTACACTTCATTTACTCAGAATCCTTTGCAMTGTCAATAATATAGTGATGTCCGGTTGACAATTTGTTTTTTTAATTTATGAAAACAGCTCACAGTGTTTTTAGTTTTTAATTGATAGAGTAAATGTTGATTAAAGAATCTCTCGTTACAACTAGTCTGAGAACCATTATTTTACACTCTACATGTAAGGCTACAAGGTTTGTAAGTGGACTTGAAGAAGACATTTTGTTCATTGTGAAAGAACAAACAGAACAGAGGTGGACCGTTTTATTGCAGTTCTTGGAGGTTTGGACCACATTCACCAAGAACACCACGTTTAACACACTGTAGTGAATTGAGTTCTTATGGTATTATTGTATTTTGTCCCAAACAATTTTACCAACAGTGGTTTTGCTGAACATAGTCCTAACTGCCTTCAGATCATTAACTCTGTATTTGTAGGCTGGTTCCTCACCTTCATCATCATCACCCTCCTTACCCTGATGTGACAAAATTCAGCATGACGCTCCAGACAGAAACCAGCTGATGGTCATTTTGTTTCATTTCCAACAGCTGCCATCTTCTTCACTAAGGTTCCTGCTGATGGCTTTGTCTTCAGTTAAACAACAATCATCTAACAAGCCTCAGGAGGGATGTGATGGAGAGTGATCTTCATCAACTTGTACAATAAGTTCTAGTTTCTAAGCTTGGATGTGTGTGCCTTTCAATTTTTAATTGATAATGCTCCTTGAATGTTTCTTTCAGACCTATAATTTAACCAAAAATAAGATTGCTGCAATATATTTAGTGCTATGGTCAGCACCCACCTTATGTTCCTCCACTTGGTGCTTTATGTCCTCGAGATCCGGACCGAGCGGCTGAGACCCGATCCTCTTGATGCGTGCCTCGGTTATGTCCAACCAGTTGGTGAGCTGCTGAAGCTGAAGGTTCTGTAGATCCATCAGGACCTCGTGAAGTCTGACAGACACACAGAGAGAAAGGCTGGAGTCATCACTTCAAACCAGTTTGATCAGATAAACATTTGACAGGAAGAACAGGAAGTTCTGTTGGGATGCTTAGCTTGTCATGGAGGGCAAGAAAAGCCTGGTGGCCCACCAGGCCAATAATACACTCAAACACTGTACAGGTCCTCAAAAAATTAGCATACTGTGATAAAGTTCATTATTTTCTGTAATGCACTGATAAACATTAAACTTTCATATATTTTAGATTCATTGCACACCAACTGAAGTAGTTCAAGCCTTTTATTGTTTTATTATTGATGATTTTGGCAAAAAAGTAAAGAAAAACCAAAAATCCCTATCTCAAAAAAATTAGTATATTTCATCCGACCAA